AGAACAAATAATTAAGAATACAAAGGGTCATAACCTTTAGAATCTACTGGCTGACAGTCTATCTTTTGATAGGATAAATAGGTTGAAAAAAGAGAGATCGGGGCCAGACTGTGAGAGTTGTAAGCCAGGGTAAGCTTGGTGCTACCTCTTTATTTTTTTTGCTTTTATTATTTGCTTATGAAGAATTGTGATTGAGAGAAGTATTGTTGAAACTGTGATTAGAATATTGTGGAATATGACTTTGGACTGATCGTTTTGGAGAAAATCTATGACCTTGAGAATTGAGATTATCGAATTGTGTTGTGTTAGATAAAGATATTGAATTCTGTGTGATGAATTGAAAAACTGAATATAATAAGTAAGCTAGAAATCAGTAATTGAATATATATAAATCGCAAAGAGAGTAAGTGGGAGATGAACCGATAAGAAAATGGAAGTATTGTTGAATTGATATTCGTAGAATGTATTATGTGTTGAATTAAGACAGAAGTAGTAAGCCTTGGTATTTTGTAGTTTGATAATTGATTTCACATAGTTAGAGTACAATCAATTGTGACACTAATAGACCCAATTCATATAACCAGTCTTTCTCCATGTTCGAATTGACCTCTATTAGTTCAATTGCTTTGGTATATTGAAGCTTGAACACAATGAGAATAACAGATCTTAAATTAAATTATCCTTCAAGTGTGGATTTTGTTGAATTATTTGATTGCCTTGTGTTATTTTGATGATCAAATGGAAGTGATTTTTACTAAGTAAGAGAATTAAAAATTTAAAATAAACTAAAAAATAACTTAAATAATTAAATTGGGAGTTAATTAATAATTGAAATTGGAATAAATCACTTATTAGTGTGGTTCATTTTAGACTATAATTGAAGAATTCTTAAAGATGTTAGAGATAAATCAAACATTGAGGAAGAATTGCTAGAATAAGTAGCTAATGAAATTATTGTGAATTAGAATATGCTCTTAAGTAGTAGAGGTTTATTTTAGTGCACAAATTATAAGACTTTTTAATTTATGATAGTCTAGACTTTTTTAGGATTCATCATAAGGCTATCATATAAAATAATAAATCTTAAAATATTAACTAAAATAATATAAAATACACACTTTTCTAACTTGGCATAGAATCTTGGATCTTTGAGTTTTTTTAATACATAATAAATGTATAAGTCATATTATTTTATATTCTTAAAATAGATTAATTATTATTTATATATAAATATTAAAATATTTTTAAAAGATATAAAATAGATTAACTTATTTATTCAAAATATAGTTTTCAATTCATCTCCTTCTTTGATACATACTAGATTGTATGCTCTTCATAGATCTATTTTTATGTAGATCTTAGCTTAATATAATTGATTAAAAAGTTCAAATCTAAAAGATAGAGAATATATCTTCTTAATGGTAATCTTATTGAGTTCTCAATAATTCATACATGTGAGCAATGATTCATTTTTTTCTTTACAATAAGATAAGAGCTCTTATTAGGAAATTACAATAATACATGAAATTTTTGGCCAAGTTTTCTTTAATATATACTGTGAGCTTTGTTAGTTTATTTTGTAATAAATTATAGATTGGTTCAAATGATAATTGAGCTTCTTCTTGAAGGTCAATTGAGTAATCATAGAGACAATGCTCCAAAAGGATATCTATATTCTTTTTCTTAAAAATATCTTCATAATCTTAATATTTGATTGAAATTCTACTTAAAGTCTATCTATTATTAAAAATAGGTGTGGCATAAATAATATAAGGTGATTGTAAAATACAAATTCTATTGGTTGCACTACAAATTATATCATGATTTTAATACATAAATCAAAATTTTATTAAAAAAGCCTCCAAATTATTTAATATTAGATTGTATTATTTAAAAAAAGTTGAAAACCAAAATAAAACATAATCTGAAAGTAATGTTCCAATAAACTTGACTTATAATCTTATAATTGAATAGCTTTGAAGTTAAAGTTTAATCACCAATTGTACTTGATTGATAAATCTTTAAAACTTTGAATTTGTATCATTAAACTTTTTATACAAGATAACTTTTGGTTTTTAAATATATGAAAAATATTCCATCATAGGAGAAATAGCATGATTTGGTATAGATATTGAAATAACTCCAATTATTTTTATATCTTTACTTTCTACCAATCTTATTGCTTCTTGTGGTATCAAGAACATGAATTTCAAAGGACTAAAAGATCAATATACTCTTGTGACACTCAAAGAAATTAGAAAATCAGTCAAAGATGGTATAATAATAAACTAGAATGGCTAGTGCTAAAGATAAGAAGATTGTCAAGCCTTGAAATAAGACTAAGGACTAAAAAGGCATTGATAAGAGTGAAGAAGGCTTCACTCTTGCGTCTACATATATAATTTAATTAAGAGCTACATGACAACGTTCTATAGGACCTTTGACACATGTTTTAACTTACAAGGCAAATTTTCTATATGTATGCTATATAGTTAGTTTGTACCACAAGCTATCAATACATGCAATGCATAGCTAACTTGTTGGTTAAGTTTCTAATCTAAAAATCAAATCTAAACATGTATAAAATCAAAGCCGTAGTCTTATATAACATAAATTCTTATTTAAGAATGCACCAAGCATCTAGTTATATATATAAATATTTAATTTAAATATATATAAATATATATAAATATATATATATATATATATATATAATTTTAATATATATATAAATATCTATTCAATTCAATTAGAAGTCAATATCATTTTTTTCTTATATTCTAAATTTATTAATATTATTTTTTATTTTTAAATTAAAATTTTATCTATAGTTCTAAAATCTCTAAAACATATATTTGTATTCTTAAATATAAAAAAATTGCAGTATTTAGTTGAACTAAAGTATACAATAATAGATATAAATAAATATAAAAATATTACAAAAGAAGCCTACATTGAATTGTACTGTGAAGTTTTCTACTATTTATTGTAATTTCCAATTCAAAATGCTTATAAATCCATTACAAGTGTAACTAGAAGCAATGATTTAGGGATGGTTTTGCAATAAAAGAATTAGGATAATATTGTAAGATTTCAGTCTATTATAATATTTTTTAAAATTCATATTAAAAAATAGGATTTTTTTAATAAGTCATTTATTAAGTACAAGTAAATGTAATAGATTAAATTAGATTATTAGTATGGTGAAATTTTAATATATTAAAATAAATTTAAATAATAAAAATTATAATAATAGAAATAATAAAATTTAAAAAATAGATATTATTAATTTCATCTAAAATACATCAAATTAATTTTTTTATTAAATAAATATATTTTAATAAACGTGCCTATTTAAAATATTATAAATTAAGATAAAATAAATTTTAATATTAATTTTAAATAATAAAATTTTATATAGTATATACTTCATTCAATTATAATTAATAAATTACCAAAATTAATTTTTAAAAGTGATATATATATATATATATATATATATATATATAATAGAATATTATATCAAGTAAATCTTAGATCAATCCATTTTTGCTCTTACCATCATATTCCATTTTCATCTTTTTTTCCTACATTCAATTTCATGCTTTAAGCCAAGACCACAATAAATTAAAGTTCATCGTTGTTGTCAAATGGTGATACAAATTTTACTTATTTTAGTTTAGGAAAGTTGTTATGCACATCCTATCCTCAATTTGAACTCAAATTCTTACATGCTTTCAAAAAAGAATAGCTTCTTGTAATTTGGACAAGTGAGAAGCTATTTGTTCAAATAAGAGTTGCAAACATTGTATGGTGTTATATAGTTCTTGCTTGTAAATTGTTGTTGTGTACCTTATTTCTTAGAGAACCTACTTGAGTATTATCAAGGTTGATTAGAATGTAGTAGATATAAATAAGAGATACATGAATCAATTTAAATTTGTTTTGGATCAATTTAATATTTTTATTTATACACACACACACACACACACACACACACACACATATATATATATATATATATACAAAAATATTAAAATGATCCACCCATGTATTAAATCAACCTATTCTATTAAAATCATCATTAAAATCATGGATCATCTTCAAGAACCATTATTAAAGTTATAGCCCTTATCTCAATCTCTTTCATTTTCAACCCATGTTTCTTCTACTCTTAGCCTAATAAGTGTCAATTATCAAAATTGTACTCACTAAACAATAATTCATTAGTAAAAATGTTAAGTATATGACATACCTACATATTTACTATTTTTTTAACTAGCAAAAAAATAAATGTAAAAGTATACATAAAGTCCTTAGCAACTAAATAAACAAATAAATAAAATAAATAAAAATAATAAAAATAACAACAAATATCAACTTAAAAACATTTTTGTAAAATGTCTACATCAAAAGAAAGAAAAAGAATGCATCCTACAGCATAATACCATAATTAAAGACCTTAAACTTGAATAAGTTTTTCTTGTTGGTTTGAATTGTACTGCAATTTGAAACACCTTCAAGTGAATCAAAATTTCATAGATTTGTATAGATCTTAAACTACCAAGAATGACAAGTTGATACCAAGAGGTTGACAATTCAAATCCCAATTGTGAAAGCCCTAACAATGCTTGCTAGATACTAATACAAAAATAACATCTAAAGCAAGCACAAAGACAACACCTCACTCTCATGTTTAACAATTTTAGTTAATTAAAATGCAGAAAACAAAACGTATAACTAGTTTAAGGTGCACTTGGTGGGAACCCAAGTATACTATTGTGAAGAGAGGGAAGTGAAGAAGTGAAATACAGAGAAAGATGTGACTTGAAAGCAGAGCATGAAAATCAGGGTTAACAAACTCTAATCCAGATCCAGAACACAAAACAGAGAGAGAGGCAAACAAACAAGCAAACGAACAAGGGAGCCAGGAGGAAGGAAGGGAGGTAGTGGGAATCTTGCTCATCCATACAAAGCAGCGCGTGAGCTCATCCGCAAGCGTCGTTGTCCAACAGAATGCGCCTCCTTCGCGCACTCACTCACTCACTCGCAGTAGCAACAAGCATGGCCCCTCCCATTGCAACAATCCTCGCTTGCGTCACGCTAATCCCCTACTCCCTTCTTCGCCGCATTGTCACGCTGCCTTCGCTCCTGCTCGCCCGACCCACTTGAACTGAACGTGTTGAAGTTTCCGGCACTTTTCAGTACCACATTGCTGGGATACTCGCCAGTTGATCAGTGGATCCAGTCAGTTTGGTTTTTCTGGGGATATTCGATGAGATAATGTAGTAGGCTTGAAGAGGTAGGAATCGGGGTGGTTGCGTAAGGGCGTGTTGCGGTTTGGATTGCTGTTATAGATTAGGACTTGGGTTTTGGGAAAAGCTGGAATTGTGGGTTGATTGTTGGTAGCGAGGAGCTGCTCCTTCGATAGTGCGAGAGGGAGGAGGAGGGGTGGAGATGACTATGGCGACGATGGGCGTAGCAGCTTTGAGCGACTGTGCTGCTGCGTCTCTTGCTTCCCCTTTCGCGACGCTGACCTCCTTGCATCGTTCCAAAGTACGCGGTGCTGATGGCTTTGAAACTGCGCTTCCAAGTTTTGGTTTTGATTTTGATGTTTTTTTTACCTTAATTTTTAAGTGAACACAGTTGATTTGTTGCGCGACAGATTGATCATGCCCTATTTCCCACGCAAAATTTCATGCTTGTTCTGAGTGCGTACTAGAACAAAGTATAGTGTATGGCTCCTTGGAGAGAGATGAGAGAATTTTGAGGATGGAAGGAGAGTGGAAATGCGGGGCGTCAAGGAATTCCTTGTACAGTTTTAAGTCAGCTGGTCTTATTTTCTTTGGCTGCATTGCTTACAACATGCAGATTTTTTATTTTTTATTTTTATTTTTCTTTTAATTCTATTTTTTTTTGAAGTTCTAGATTGAACTGGTTTGCGATAGTTGGATACTTGAAGATTGGGGTGTCAAGCTCTAAAGTCCCTGCATAAGTTGAGTCTTCCCTACAGCCATGACATGTGCAAGCCTGATAATTGCATGACAGTAGTCGCCCTGGGATTTAATCTTTGTGACCAGTTTCTTCGCACGCTGCTTGCAGACAGCTACTAGGATTACACTCGACAGAGCATGCCGGGATTGGTCATCACTGGCTGTGTTAACTCCCGGAATGAATCCTGCAAGACACACAAGAAGGTGAGACCAACAAACTGGCTCTGCTCCTGTCGTCCTCAATCCGTCCGTGTTCAGAGTCATACTTAGCTTTGTCTTCCATGGTTATTTACAGCAACATCAATCTTTGATTCGGAAGATTTTTTCCTTTTTTCCTTTTCTTTTGAAGTAATTACTATCAACATAACTATTCTAATAACTGTTATAGCAGGAATTATTCTGCAGAGAAAAAATGCTGTCTGCATCAAATGCCTATTACTGCAGCACATAGGAAGGCAAGTCTGCGCGTTAGGAAGCAAGAAAGCGTCCCGTTAGTAACACTGACTGACAATTCTGGAGTGTCACATCACTTGAGCTCTTTCCTGCAGCAACCTGCTGGCACACAGTCCATGCTCAACACAAGAGCCTTGATGAGGTACGAGTATGTGGGTGACGATGTATACTGGTGCTACCTGCCTAAAGTGACGCTGCTCAACTTCGAGGTTGCCCCCATCATCGACCTCTTTGTGGCTGCAAGTGATGTGGACTGTCGTGTGGACATGCGTCAATGCTCGGTGCGCCTAAACACACTTGTGCATTTCTTTGATCTAATGCCTACAAGTTTATTGTCTTGCTAACATCGTTGTGTAGCTCTAAAGCTATCCAGGACCAGAACGAACGTTTTTCTGGTACATTTTGCCCTCGTTATACCTATCCCATTTTTTTTACACATCCTAACATCCACTGTTGTCGAGATCATGAGGGACAATGTAATTTAACTCATTAATTCTATTGTTGTGTTACCGTGAATTTACTTTCAATGTCGAAAATCACTTGAATTTATTTTTCGTTTATCAAAAATTTTGTGCAGCCAGCTTGAAGAATCACTTGATATGGCACGACACCCCCGAAGGAGATCAAGTGCTCAACTTAAAAACCGAGCTGAGTGTTTCCTTGGAGGTACTATGGCACTTTTTGTCCTGCGCTTTTAAGCTAGTTACTTAGAGGCAAAGATTTAGTTTCCAAGAGTGCCATTCCCTTCTTCTCAGACCTTACTTTCGTCGACTTCCGTCGACGAGAAACAAATTTCCTGTCATCCTTTGAAGATGGAAATGTCTTAGCCCATCGACAAATGTGGCAGGGTAGCGTTGAGCCGCACTCAAGATTCAAAAACTAGTTCACAGTTCTAACAAGTGGTGGTGGTCCTGCTGCTGCTGCTGCTTGTAGGTCTACACCGTTCCTTTCACAATGCTGCCTCTTTAAGCGGTGGAAGTTCCTGGCAATGAGTAAGCTCATATCCATGCTCCACACAACGTTAGGAGTACACAATGTCCTATGAATGCATAGCACGTAACTCAGTTGTCCGCAAGTGCTTGATGAAATCTTTGTTATTTTCAGTGTAATGGCACTCACTGCACATGGTATCTTTCCTTTGCTTTTGGATACAGGATCATGCAAACGATGTTGGACTAGTTGTTTCCCTTGTTCCTGGACTCCCTATTCTCGGACTACAAGAGGTGGGTGGATGAGGAAGCATTGGGTCTTGGGGTGAACACCATTTCTCTGTCACCGACTCTGGGGTCAAGTCCCCACTTAGCAGCACCAGACTGCCAACCTTTACAAGTTTCTTCATGATTGGACTAGTGGGTAGAGCTTCTAGAACAGCAATGCGTTGTTGCATTGGTGTAGTTCATTGCAACTAATTCTTGCAATTTGGCGGATGTGGTGCCGAGTGGGTCTACAGAGTAGAATGCCGCACTGGATAAGAAGCCGAGGGAATCAGCATTGTATATACAAAGTTGTGAATTTAGTGTTGTGATTGTTCTTTCATTGACCAATGAAATTGAGAAGCTGCGTATTCCATATTGGCTATGATCGCAGTCAAACTTCAGCGTTGACTATGATAACCGAAATGGTTAATATTTGTCTTCTTTTCTTTTCTTTTCTTTCAGTGTTTAGGGTCGTTCAGTGTTCGAGGCCAAAATTATAAACAAGGGCTGTAGATCGGTATTCATCACCAGATCACGTGTCCAATACATCTCAACCAACCAGATCTGAGATTATATTTCAGCAAAGAGAATCGGTAATGCAATCAAATGCTACTCTGGCAATTCAGAGGTCAAGATACGACCTGAGCAATCTAGGAATCCAGATGAACACTGTTTGCCAATGCAAACACACAATCCTTAATTCCTCACATTATAGGACGAGCAATTCAACAAGATGACAATAGATTGAAGCAGAGAATAAGGTCTTTGATGTAACACCTTGTTCAAATTTATTAGAACAAGGTAATAAAAAGAAGTGATATCTTGTGGTCGCATTCTTAGAAGCTTTTTAGATACAAATTTGAATTTATATGTATTAATAGTTGATTGATAGGTTAGAAATTTATTCAACAAGTTAACCACATGTTATACATGTTAGTAGCTTGTGGTACAAGTTGGCCATGTAACACACATGTAACAAACTTATCTTGCAAGTTAGAAATATACTTTTAAGTAATCATCTACTCTTTTCTAATAACACAAGAGTGTATTGATTTATATCCTTGACAATTTGACAAAAGTGCTAATTCATTATTCTTCTTTTTCTTTAAAAGTGAGTAGTTTATTCCACATCTTTTTTTGTGCTTTAAGGATTGTAGACTATCTACCTTAAAACTAACATTTTTTTATCCTCTAATATTGATTCTTTTTCTAAAGAGAGTGGACTATCCATTCTTTGTAGAAATTTTTATTTGGTATTAGAGATTATAGATTTTTCTTCTCTAATTCGACTTCTAGATTTGTTAAAGTCATTTCTTATAAAGATTGGAGAAAAAATTATTGATGTTATATTCAATAAAAGTGAGAATAGATTTACAACTATTATAGATCTTCATGAGCTTGTTAGTATTTTTATGGTACAAATTTCACATATTGTCATGGATATACATATTTATCTAGATAAGAAGTGCTAGATAGAAGATAAATATAGATAGATTCGATATTATCTTATAGCAAAGTTTTTTAGAAACTATATAGATGCATATTTGATTTTATACTTGTTTATAGTTGATTGATAGGTTAAAAACTTAGCCAACAAGTCAGCCATCTATCGCACGTGTGGATAGATTGTGATATAAGTTAATAATTTAGCATGCATTTAAGAAATTTGCCTTGCAAGTTATAATACATGTCTCACAAATTAGACACATGTTGAAGGTCCTATAGAATGTCACCATATAGCTCATAATTAGATAGTATATATAGAGATAAGAATAATTTTTTTTTTATTCTTATAAAGGCTTTTCCAATCTTTAGTCTTGTTTCATGACTTTCTAGTCTTCTTGTCTTTAGCAATAGCCATTTCAATTTAATATTATACCATCTTTGAATAGTTTTCTAATTTTTTTGAGTGACATAATAATTTATTGATCTTTTAGCTCTTTGAAATTCATATCCTTGATACATTTTAATAATATTAATGTTTGAAGTACTATTCTTGTATTTATAGAAGAAGTTGTCAAAGACAAGAATTTGATGAAAGTAAATAAATAAATGAGACCTTTTGAAAAAAATATGACAAAATAAAAATGGAGAAGTATGTATATTAAAAAGAGAACTAGAATGGCTATTGCCAACAGACAACAAAATTAGAGATTCTTAAAACTAGACTAGAAGCAAGAAAGGAATTGGCAAGAATAAAGAAGGCTTCACTCTTGCCTCTATAAATACTATCTACTTAGGATCTATGTAGCAACATTTTATAGGACCTCCAAAAACGTGTTGACTTTGCATGATATGTATCTTAATTTGTAAGGCAATTTTTCTTTATGGGCACCATATAGTTAGCTTATTCCTCAAGCTATCAATATATGTGGTACATAGTTAGCTTATTGACTAAGTTTCTAACCTACCAATAAACTACAAATACATTTAAAGTCAAAATAGTGTCTAAGAAGCTTCTCTAGAAGGTATTATGAAATTAATCTAGTTTTATCTACTTCTACCTATTCATATTACTTAGATAACAATAACAATAGATATATATCTATGTACTTAGATAACAATAATAATATATATATATATATATATATATATATATATATATATATCTATCTATGACAAAGATTTAAAGCCTATGCTAAAAAATTACATAGTTGAAATAAACAAGTAGATCGAGCTCACAATGAAATCCAAAAACTTTTGCTATTACAAATATAAAAGAATCAAGGATAAGTATTTTAGAAAAGTTTAATGAAATAAGATCAATTTTTTGAGGATTTTAACAATAAGTAAAGCTCTATCTAAAATTGCATCTTTTTCAATATGCTTATAGATTTATTAAAGTTAGATTCATGGATGCACTTCTATTTAGAAGTCATCTTTTTTTGTTTGCACTCTTGATAGAAAAAGATTCACAACTCTTCTATGATTTAAATTCATTCTTGAAAGTGTTTTTTGCAACATTTGGAGAAAGTAATCAAGAAAGAGTAGTAGAGACCAAACTTCTATCTTTATGATAAAGATGACTTTTTGCTACCATATATGTTATTGAATTCTAAAACCTTGCTTGCACCATGGATTAAAATGACAAAGTCCTTCCCAACTAATTTTAATATAGATTAAAAGATAATATAAAAAAATTATTATTGATAATATCAAAAACACATACATTAGAACAATGTATTGCTCAAGCCATTGTATGCAATAATTAACTTTTATAAAGACGTCAAGAATAAAGATTTGCATGAAGAGATAAAAATCAAGTCATCATGATAATTTCTAAGTTTTTTAGACCTTATTTATTAAGGTCAGAACCAATGCAAATTGATACAATACATTTAAATTTCTCAATTAGCTAAAAAAGATTCAACATTATTAAGAAGATTTGTACTTATATTGTAGAAAATATATACATATTTTTTAATATTATCTAAAAAAGTAATATAATCACAAAATAAATAGTTTAGTTGTTAAAGTAGTTGATGTATTGGAAAATAAGTTTGTTTAGCTACAATAGGCATCTTGCGACTAAAATTTTGTACAACATCTAATAAATATCATATTTTTTTGTCAAATTCTTTATCTTGCTTTATAATAGATGTTTTTTTAGGACAAAAAAATTATAAAGTCTTTGACTTGTTAGATTTAGATGCTTTAGTTTTTTATTCTATTTTATTATTATTATTATTTTTAATATTTATTGAAAAAGTTTTTAATAAAAGAATAAAAATATTTTTAGTAATAAAAACTAAGAATATACATGTAGAAATCATTGATAGTCATTTTTTTCTTGTAGAGATGTTATCCATGAAACTATTCCTTTACATGTAGCAACTAATAGACATAAAAGCTTAATAATATTTAATATGATTTAATTTATTAATCTAGTTATTTAAAGATTATCATGGATGTAAAAGTATAATTCTTAAATAGATTAGATCTTTTATGACCTTGATTTTTTTTATAGTTTAATATAAAATTCTATTTTTCAAATAAAAAATCATAAGTTCAATACAATTAAAGTGTTATTGGTAGTTGCAATAAGTTCAATACAACTAAAGTGTTATTGGTAGTTGCAAGAGCTTTCATGCATATGCAAAAGAAAAAACACCTTTTTTTATTTATGCCATACCCATTTTTGATGGTGAAAAAACTTTAAGCCACATTAAAAGCTAGTACTAAGATTACCAAGACGTATTATAGTATACATTTTGTATCAGAATATTGAAAGATTTTTGCAACAAAAAACCTTTAATAATCTAATGTAATAATCAAAGTAGCATAAAAATATCAAAGAATTATGTCTTTTATAACAAGACCAAATACTTTACAAGACACAAAATAGATGATGGAGAAATTAGAGTAGATTATGTTAATATAAATTAACAATTAGGAGATATCCTAATCAAAGCTTTAAATAGGCTGAAATTTGAGAGATGTAAAAATAAACTTAGCTTGAAAACCACACACAAAATCAAAGGTGATTCAAAAAAATTCTAATCACATCTTAGTCATATCTTATTATGAAGCTCTCTACTTCCAATATACTTGTAAAACTCTTGTATTTTGCATTGTTAAATCCTTTAACATACTACTTACAATTTTATCAAATATAATAGATTTTTAAATGAGATCTCCAATGCATTGCATAAAACTTCTTTAGTGTTGACATTATTTCTATATAGAATGAAGTCCTAATTGTATTCTCTTTGATATCCATAAGCTGATTTGGAGTTTTGTTATTGACAATTGCATCAACAACCATTGAAGTTGATACAAGCCACACATTTGTTATTCAATAGCATATTATCTTACTTGAGAATATACTTATCTTGCTTGAAAATACACTAGGCACTTGATTGTAGAAGGTGAACTAGAAATTGCAACAAACAAAGATTCTAATAACCTTAATAGAATCTTAAATAAATTCCAACTGAATCTTAATAATCTTAGTAAAATCTTAATCAAATCTAAAAAAAAGTCTTTAAAAAATTACAAAAAAATCATTAAGATATCATAAATAAAATTTAAAAATATTAAAGAAATTATAAATAATCTTTAAATATACTAAAAAAATCATTAAGATATCATAAATAAAATTTAAAAATATTAAATAAATTATAAATAATCTTTAAATATACTAAAAAAATCTCAAAAAATAGAAAAGCCTTATAAAAATACTCAAAAAAATCTTAATTAAATCCTAAATAAACTTTAAATAGACTCTAAAAAATTCTAAATAAATCCAAAGTATTTTTTAAAAAAAATCTTCAAAAAATCTTAAAAATCTTAAAAAAATTATATATAATTTAATGAAATCTTAGGAAAATTCTAAAAGTCCTAACAAATTTTTAATTAAATTCTAATTATCCTAATTAATTTCAATGATAGATTTAAAATCTTAATGATCA